TGTGGTGGATTTAATTGCCAAGGTAACCTAAACCAATATTGTCATCTTTATATTTGTCAGAGTCCAAATATTGGTTATAGTCTGAGATTGTGGGCTTGGTTTATTTTACATCAATACTATCGCATCTAAACCACAACTTATCAACGGGTTCATTCCATTTCTTCAGTACTGTAATTTTTGCTGTGTAATGATCAGCGGTTATTTCCGTAATTGTACATGTTCCACTGAATAATATCAGCGTTTCTTTCCCACTTTGAGAGGGGAGTGGGACCACATATCATGTGGGCCTCTGCTGGTTTCAGCACTGTGACCCTATGTTTACTTACTATATTTTGCCACAAAACGTGATTATAATCCACTTTCCAAGATAAATCAATTGGACTAATTGGTGTCCGTCTGATGTAGGACAGGCTACTTGACTTAGCTGCTTTCAGTGCTGCAACTGTTTCTTTTAATCCTGGTTCTGCACAGGACTTAGGCAAATCATCTCCTACCACAGCTTCTATGTTTTTTCCTGTTTCCTAGAACCAACAGTGAATTTGGCTAGGTCATATGTCTGTTCCCAGAAGTAGGGAAAAAACCAGGGGGTATATCTAACTGTATTTTAGCATAGGGTTGTTTATTCAGTTTCTTCACCACTGTTCTTCTATGAAGGACTTTGTGAGCCGTGATCAAATAGTGTTAGCCCATGGGTTGTGTGGTTAATTTTAGGTAACTCAACTCGGAGCTATCGGGAGAGCCGTATTGCTTTAACTTATCTCTCACATTTAATGCTGTGGCTTGTTGACTTCCAGAATTCTGTGGAAGTTGCTGCTGTTCAGCAAAAGTCTTTTGGGCATCAATGCAGTATGATGCCATACCCTTGCATTTAAAAACACTGGCTTCGTGAGCATTTTCCTCCCTTGTGTTCACCTAAACATTGATGCATCTTTTCAGCTGATGAACACGTTGTTACGTGCCTCATTGATGTGTATTGAATTTATATACTGTGTCCAATGTGTTCCATCACAATGTAACATTTGGAGTACGTGTATGTATGTCCGTTGTTTACTGTCTGTTGTTCTTCCACAGCTTGATAAATGCCTATATGGGATTTCATTATGAGGTTTTATGGGCGAAGGTATACTCTTTGTATATGAGTTGAAGGTTTTGTTATCCTCTGGATTTGGGATGTTTCATCTTGTTCGTGCTTGCATGCATGAAACTATTGTTTGTAAACCATTGCTAATTTCTCACAAGTGAAATAGGTTATTGATACATAATATATATCGTTAATGTTTGTGGTGACAACTTATCTTGTACAATACCACCTGATAAACCAATTCACATGGTCTTAGGGTCATATTTAGCACCTAGAGATCTGGACTATTGGTCTAATGTAATTTAATGCCTGGTCAGTCTGAAAAAAAAATAACAATGTTTGGAAGTGGCTTCAAGCTTGATATTACGACTGCAATGTCTAACTTAAGCCTTGTCCGCATCGAAGTAATTGTTTGCTAAGACACGTAAGTAGTTGATAATTGCCTTTAACACCGGAAATGGACTTAATCTGTTCATAGGGGTTCTCCCTTACAAAGACATTTAGGTAATTGAACCTAGCAATTCAATCTATTTCAGTTCGTGAATTTACTATGGCTTGAAAACCACTAATGATTCCTCATAATTATGACCTTGGAAACTAGGTAATGACCAATGTAGGTAAGCTTGGTAATGGGACACTTTGATGTGTTACAGGTGAAACAGGTGTTTGACACTAGTGACAGTAGGTCTCTTGTGACAGAGTTGTACGGCAGATAGCCTTGTATCTGTCCACTTATTGGTGATCACTAACAAGTATCAAAAACTTTTTAATATCATTTCAGATGGATCTGATCAAGAAATTTATTTTCATAATGTGTATAGTCTGAATTAATTATTTCATAGTAGTGTATATATTCAAACTTGGACCTCAAGTATCATCAAACTCTATGTTTGTATCTTGAGTTAATCCTATACAGACTGGAAAATTATCTTTTCTATTGTGTAATCTTGTCTGTAAAGACTGACAACTGAGTTTTCAACAAGCCATTTTAATGGTATACTGAAAATTCTAGCTCCACACTTAGGTGTTTATACAACTACTGTTACTGTATAGACAGCTGAGTTTTTGTTTATGCTTAAGTCCGCAATAATTGAGTCAGACAGACTGACCCATAAGCTTAACTCAGGGTCAATTACAGAGGGTACACCGTAATGTGGCTGGTGTTTATGGCTGTGTGCTGTGTCAAGCTGACCCATGTTGATTAATCGTTAACAATAACGATGTTAATACACTTCATTAACATACCCTTTTAAATGTCATTATAATGTACTCACCCACGGTATCTTACTTACACAGTCTCTAAATTTCACTGTTAATAATATTGAAAGTTACACTTTATATTTAAGTACTTTTAATCTAACAGGTATCTTAAGGAAAAACCTTTAACACATCTTGTCTCATAATTTCTGTCTATAAACATTATAACTCTATGTATATATACTCTCAAGACAAAAACATCACTGGGTTGTCTTAATCAGCGATTTCGCCAATTGGAGCAGTTGATGGAGGGTGCAGGTACATCCCCCGTCTTGTTGTTGGGTGAAGTCACCCAGCTCCGTTTTCGCGTTGGGTGAACGCTGGGTGAGCGCCCGTATTCTTTGGCTGGCCCAATCTCTGTGCTTGAGTTGGAGGGACTCATTTATTTACTGATTTATATTGAAAACCACTAGTTTTACAGCTTTTTTCGAAGGACCCTTGGCTCATAGGTTATTTGTACACTGTAGTACAACATCTTTGGCCCACAGTGTGGTCTTTTCGGTTTTCGAGCACGACCCAAACTCTGATTGAGCATGGGGCCTTACCTGCTGATGTTTTTATATATATATAATATATAATGAACACTTAGCTGATTAAATGACAGAAATCGTCTACACAGCCCGCCCCTGCAGCGAGGTTAGAAGCTTTCGAAACCATCACACAGTGGGGGCTGTCAAGTAGATACAATTTGTAAGTATAAATTACCCCTAGGGGGGGTTTGTCTGCATATTTCATTCGATGATGGCTGCCGAATCACTTGTTTGGACTCAAAGTCCACATTACTGCCGATCTAGGTTTGATTACAAAACTCCTTGTGACTCAAGAATTTGCGCAATCCCCGATCTTAAGAAAATCGTAACAAACCTTGCTCTTTGTTGTAACGTGAGCTATGGTGTTCCTCAACCCTTTGACAGGTATCGGTGACTGATAGAAGCTGAAGTGTCTTTGTATGTCCAAGGTCTTCCATTGTCTAGGAACGCACCCTGGTCCCACTATGTCACAGATTTGTCTTTAATGTTCACACGTAATCACCAGGAGAGCTGATCACACTTCTCTTAAGAAGTTTATTGTGTTTTGTGAGACACTTTATTCCCAACGCACCGATCAGTGTCTTTGCTGGTTATCCGGGCGTTCAGTTCTCGTCGTAGGTCAAAGTTAGTCTCCCAGACGCTACAGTGCTCATGCAGTCACTGCCCCCTGCACAAACAAATTAACGCTGACTAGTACCTTGCATTCTTGTCACATCTCGATGTAGCAAAGCAGAATGTTTGTTTCTTGCGTCTTAAGCGTAGCCAAACAATGTACACTATTTTTACTATGGTAATAAAGTGAGGAGAGGATTTTTCCTTAATTGTCTGCTAAGTTAAGAACTGTATGTTTTTATAAAATTACACGTTGTAACCCCTGCACGGAGCAGAGGTCACTTGATTACGTGGCATTAGCATCTGTGTTCATTACTCACTCTAGCAGGAGTAAACAAGACGCTCGCCCTTCAGAGTGGCCTCAGGGCTAAAAGGGGCTGAAGGGGGCTGATACCCCTCCTGGAGAAATTTCTCTCAAATGGCGTCAAGGTACCACGGCTTCCTTCACAACAAGACGGGCAGCAGATAGTAACTACATCCTGCTGTTGCCCTTCCTAAGAACATCACTTCTATCTCAGATCATTTCATTCCTAGAATGGACTCATGTCTGGAAACATGATGTACAGCATAATGACATCAAGGATATAATCAGTTGACCAAATGAAATCGCAGTCTCCATAGTTGATCAACTTTAATTCATATGCCTATTTTGTATGTCTCATACAAAGTTTTTCATCTGAGATGAGTTAGGTAAAGCTTTAGTGTAAAATACTGGTAGGAACTCGTAAGCTACTTAAGGTAAAAACATGGTGTAAATAACAAAAGAAATTTTTTTTTTTTTTTGGTTTAACCAATTTTTTTTTTCCCCTTTATCTCTTCCTCCACCGAGATCACTAATAATCTCCTTTGCACTAAAGTGACACTCTTGAACATTGTGGATAACATTTGCCTACTGTCTTTACCCCTCCCTCCCTCCCTCATCTCCCTCCCTTCCCTCCCTCCCTTCCCCGCCCTCCCTTCCCCTCCCTCCCTCTCTCCCTCCACCTTGTAGTCAACTCGCTTCACTTCGTCTCTCCCGGTGTTTGTTTTTTTTACCTCTGTAGGTGGAGGACACTAATTAAAAAAAAAAAAAAGGATTTCTTTCAGAAGGCTCACTGGATTTTTGCATACCAAATCCATGTTACATGTTGTTTATTCTTTCTTAATTCAATACACCATTTAGTGATACGTAAAGACGTATTGCTTAAAAATCAAGTGATGTTATCGGGAGTTACTGGTATAAATATAGTATCCGCATATAGCAAACTTGCACACAGTGAAACTGCATAAAGCAAAGGAGACCAGTGTATGCAAACTTGTTTTGTAAAATGACTTAAACCCGAATAAATTTTTTTGTAGTATTCCTTATCCTGTAGCGCACAGAAGCTACGTTGTCATGGCAACAGCCAATCTTTTATTACCAGTTTACGATCTTAATTTCATTTACACGTACTATGTATTTTACTACTTGTTACTGATGTTAGTAAATCCTAATGTAATTTATATAAAAATACGTCCTAAAACATCTTCAACTTTTGCAGTGTGGCGACCAGCAGCAGCCACATGACGGCCAACACATATGTTCATGTGCCAAACACCAGTTGGTAGTTCGTTGATGTTCGTAAGTGTTCATATGTCGAGCACCAGCTGGTAGACTATTGATCAACGTAAGTGTTCAGGCACCAAACACCAGCTGGAAGATCCTTGATAAAGACGTTTTCAGGCGCCCATCACCAGCTAGTGAATAACACAAGAGTTCAGGCGCCTAGCACCGGTCAGAAGAACGAAGATTGACACAATGGCTGACGGCAAAGAAATAGGGTTAATGATACTGCGACTGTTGGTAGGGCTGCTATACACGGTGTACTGCATGCTGGAGGCCTTGGTGCTCACCCTCATCCCTCGCAGGTACCGCAGGAAAAACATCAAAGGCAATATCGCCCTGGTGACGGGCGGAGGCTCTGGCATCGGCCGCCTCATGTGTCGTCAACTTGCAGCTAAGGGCGCCATCGTTGTTACCTGGGATGTTAATGAGGCAGGTAAGACTGAGGTCATTGCTTTTTGTAAATTTATAACACTCATATACTAAGGTGTAATACAGAGGTATCTGAACTGCACTCTACACTGTAAGGTAAAGGCAATGTCGAATTACTAGGCGCAACTTCTAAGGAATATGAGCATTTATAAACGACGGAGAATAAATTAAGAGCGACGTCGACATTTTAAACACCATATTTTGACGTTCTCTGAAATATTACATTCAAGGGGAAACGATAAATCCATATGGGTCAAACAATGCCTGGGGAATGTAAGGCAATTAGGTTTGATTCGAGGATGGGCAGAGTAAGTCCAATGCTTCGGATTACTTCAACATCAAGGGACCTACCTCCCTCGAAGGGTTCTGTACATTATTTTTGATTAGTTTAGGGTAAAGGAGCATAATAAAAATCAACCCATTTTAGCAAAACGTTAAAAAAAATAATAGGAAATGTATTAACTCAGTGCAACAGCGACAAGGTAAATATCGAAGATACTTTATGCACTAATTATTAATTTATTTCAGTCATGGGAAACGCTAAATCCGTAGGGGTCATACAGTGCCTGGTGTATTGTAGTGAACATTCAAAAATCGATACTGTCTTTAAGTGATGAACATAGCTTTTTGCTCGTTCTATAAATCTTTTATAAACGCACATCTTATGAGGATGGGTTGCTACCAGGTACCTATTTCCAGGCAGTCAGCCACAGGTGACTTGTAAGTTCACCCATTCCCAGAGCAGTATATACTTAACCATTGTTGACAGCTCTTCCTCCTAAAGGAATGCTGGTTTTATGGTGCAATTAAAACCCGTTGAGCAAAACAATGTTGTCATTATGCCACAATGTTGCCTTTCTTTATATAGATCAAAAAACAGTTTCTTCGTGTTTACCAGCCTTTGTTACATCAAGAAAATATTATTTCCGATTATCTGTTTTTAGCATTTTTATGTTATTAGAACAGTTAAATTTCCTTTCCAGACAACCAAACAATAACGCAGAAAAGTCTGCTAAGATCCACACAGTAGAAAAACCAAAGTTGTGTTTTAAGATGAGAGAGTACTGAGAGAAGAAGAAGAAGAGGAAGAAAAGAGGAGGAGGAGGAGGAGGATTTTGTTCGGATTATTAACTCAGATGATTGGTAACTTAAGATAACCCAGTCAAGTCAGGTTACCATTGATGGCTGTCTTATTTCCACAAGGGTCCTTTAATCCTCTTCCCCAAGTTGCTACCCACACTAGTCGCCTAACACCCAGATATGTACTTACTACCAGGTAAACTGAGGCGGCAGGAGTAAAGAAGTATGCCTAACTTTTCTACTCGTGCGGGAATCGAACTTTGGCTTTCTCATTGTGCGAGCTGAGGCGGCTACTGAGCGGTGGTGGTAGCGGTAAATATGTGCAAACAAGTATTTTTACTGGTATGTAATGGCCTAAATGTATACATAACTTTTCCTTTCCATAGGCAACTTGGAGACTGTGCGACAAGTGGTGGAAAAGGGGGGACAATGTCGCGCCTACACTGTGGACCTTTGCAACAGACATGCTATTTACTCGACTGCTACTAGGGTCAAGGAGGAGGTGGGCAAGGTAAGTGGAGGACACCTCGGTCCTAATGTTGTGTTCAGTGTTCATTTTAAGAGTGTGAAGTGAGGGGAGGAGGGGATGAAATATTATTTAGCAACATTAGTGCAGTTCTCATGGGCACCAACACCACTTTTCACCAGGTCGACATCCTAATCAACAATGCAGGAGTTGTCACCGGAAAGAATCTCCTTGACTGTCCCGATGAAAGTATTATCCGGACTTTTGACGTGAACATACTGAGTCACTTTTGGGTGAGTAGAAGTTGTGACTGTGTCTACCTAAAGTTAATGATGTCACTAGTTTAACATCTTTATTATGCACCCCATATCCATCCTGTGGATGGAAATGGGGTACATAATGGGTCCAGGGACTGGGCCGCAAAGTTTTGATAGCTGAACAAGTTACAAAGGTAATGAACTATTTACATGTTTATATCTGGTCACAATCAGAATGAGTTATTTATGCAAGCATTAATTACGTCACACACGCACACACACAGAGTGGTAATGTTTTATTTACAGTGAGCAAAGTCAGGGTATTTTTCCAGAATGGTTTATAATATCCCACTTTGAGAGGAATATATTGATTGTGGGTAAACGGAAACAGTGAGATTCTGTAGAAAAATATTTTGCTGCAATTAATCAGGAGGGCTAGTAAGTCAGGATATCCTAGTAAAGTCAGGATGTCATCAAGTACAGTTTTATTTTCATTGGTTTCCTTTAATCTTCTACCCCTGGAAGCCACCCACAGGAGCTGAGTCTCGACTCCTGCAACCACAATTAGGTGAGTACTTAGGTACCTACTTACTGTTAAGTGAATATGGGCAGCAGGAAACATGCCCAGCGTACCCACTTGCGCCAGGGATCGAACCTCAGTCCTCTCAGTGTGAATGCTGAGGCATTACCAACGAAGCATGTGACATACTGTTGTGTTTTTAGTGAAGGTGGATATTCAGTGATGGAGTGATGGAATCCTGCTTCCATACACCAATAAACTTCATATAATTAACAGTTATCGTCTTCACAAGCGCACTACAAATTGTATTAATATGTTCATACAGTCACGTTAATGTGCCATCAATATTCCCACTGCTCCCCCACTTACTATATCCACCCTACTACCTCTCTTTCTACCTCTCAAATACCACTGTTCTCTACTGCTACCCACCACTATTTCCATTGGTACCCCTATATACCACTATGCTCATCACTTCCTGTCTTGACTTTTTTAACACTATTCTCCCCTCTACCTCTCTACTATTCCTACTAACCACATGATTTACCTAGCTAGAAAATCGATCTTTAGCAATACCAGCTGGATCTTTGTCCTGAGATTGCCTCATTTTTTTCTGTCTATAAGCATCAGTACAGAATTACAGTAGACTACACTACAAAAACAATAACCTGTAGCTCCATGGTTGAGTATTCAGTATACAACTTAAAAGACCAGGATTAGATTTCTCTTACTCTTATTCACTTAACAGTAAATAGCAATCTGGGTATTAGTACTGTCGTGGGTCGCATCCTGATGGAAGCCTTAATGGAAATACTATATCAGTTTGTGAGATTGTTGAGTTATGCCATGTTAGAAACCCTACAACCTGTCAATAATTAACTTGTGCTTGTGGTCAGACAACCAAGGCCTTCCTAGGAGACATGATATCTCGTGGCAAAGGTCACATCGTCACCATTGCCTCAGCCGCCGGCAAGTTTCCCTGCAATCGCCTCGTTGACTACTGCTCCTCCAAGTATGCTGCTGTCGGCTTCGATGATACCCTCAGACTGGAACTGATGGTTAGTTATGCCTCACTAGTAGTCTTATGGCTGAAGGACAAATATATTTTCTTCGGAGGTGAGACACTTTAATGTCCTGGAATTTTCATGACATTTTCTAATTTCTATGCTTCAGTGATCCCTTTAGGGAGACTTCTTGATACCGGTGAGGAGTTCTTGATCCAGACATTTGATCTTACCCCTACCCTTCCTTGAACTGAACCTGAATTCCTCCCATTGCCTCAAGTGCTGTATGACCCCTATGAGTTTAGCGCTTCCCATAACTGTAATATGTTCCAATTATTATATAGTATTTTGTTCCTCTCATTCATAACTTTATTGGCAAACAAGTGCTTTCTTTAAACTCTTTGCACCTATATTTCATATATCTGTATAACAGTTATGATCCATAATGTAGAGTTTCATAATCCATTACTAGTGATTTATAGTCTTTAAAACTGATTTATACAGGCTGAGGGTCACACTGGTATCAAGACGACAGTGGTGTGCCCAGTCTTCATAACTACGGGCATGTTTGAAGGATTCCAGAGCAAGTAAGTGCCCAGTTAGATTATGTCATTGTTTAGGTTGTTGAAACAATGAAAAAGCCAATACCAGGTTCTTTACCATATGACACACACATGGAATTTCCTCAAGTTTTAGTGTACAGTAATTCAGGTGCCCACACTTCAGCAGTATTTACATATATGTATAAAGAATCACATAGAGAAGAATGCAAAAGGGAAATGTTTTGTGTCTCCAGGTATTTCCCAATTTTGAAACCTGAGTATGTAGCGGAGGAGGTGGTTGATGCCATGCTGCTCAACACCCCAGTGCTCATGCTGCCATACACCTTAAAGATAAATCTCCTCCTCAATCTGTGAGTATTCTTCCTTTTATGGCTCTCTTGCCCTTATTGTATTTTTGTCTTCTTTGTGACATAAGTAATATTCAATAATTTGCGTAGGGTATCTTTAACCTTGGAGTGGTTGGTATTTTTGTTTAATAAATGTATGAAAGAGGGGAAGGTACCTAGGGATTGGCAGAGAGCATGTATAGTCCCTTTATATAAAGGGAAGGGGGACAAAAGAGATTGTAAAAATTATAGAGGAATAAGTTGACTGAGTATACCAAGAAAAGTGTACGGTAGGGTTATAATTGAAAGAATTAGAGGTAGGACAGAATGTAGGATTGTGGATGAGCAAGGTGGTTTAAGAGTGGGTAGGGGATGTGTAGATCAAGTGTTTACATTGAAGCATATATGTGAACAGTATCTTGATAAAGGTAGGGAAGTTTTTATTGAATTTATGGATTTAGAAAAGGCATATGATAGAGTGGATAGGGAAGCAATGTGGCAGATGTTGCAAGTATATGGAATAGGTTTTAAGTTACTAAATGCTGTAAAGAGTTTTTATGAGGATAGTGAGGCTCAGGTTAGGGTGTGTAGAAGAGAGAGGCTACTTCCCAGTAAAAGTAGGTCTTAGACAGGGATGTGTAATGTCACCATAGTTGTTTAATATATATTTATAGATGGGGTTGTAAAAGAAGTAAATGCTAGGGTGTTCGGGAGAGGGGTGGAATTAAATTATGGGGAATTAAATACAAAATGGGAAGTGACACAGTTGCTTTTTTGCTGATGATACTGTGCTTATGGGAGATTCTAAAGAAAAATTGCAAAGGTTAGTGGACGAGTTTGGGAGTATGTGTAAAGGTAGAAAGTTGAAAGTGAACATAGAAAAGAGTAAGGTGATGAGGGTATCAAATGATTTAGATAAAGAAAAATTGGATATCAAATTGGGGAGGAGGAGTATGGAAGAAGTGAATGTTTTCAGATACTTGGGAGTTGACGTGTTGGCGGATGGATGTATGAAGGATGAGGCTAATCATAAAATTGATGAGGGAAAAAAGGTGAATGGTGCATTGAGGTATATGTGGAGACAAAAAATGTTATCTATGGAGGCAAAGAAGGGAATGTATGAAAGTATAGTAGTACCAACACTCTTATATGGGTGTGAAGCTTGGGTTGTGAATGCAGCAGTGAGGAGGCGGTTGGAGGCAGTGGAGATGTCCTGTCTAAGGAAAATGTGCGGTGTAAATATAAAGAAAATTCGGAGTGTGGAAATTAGGTGTGGAGTTAATAAAAGTATTAGTCAGAGGGCTGAAGAGGGGTTGTTGAGGTGGTTTTGTCATTTAGAGAGAATGGATCAAAGTAGAATGACATGGAGAGCATATAAATCTGTAGGGAAAGGAAGGCGGGGTAGGGGTCGTCCTCGAAAAGGTTGGAAGGGAGGTTTTGTGGGCGAGAGGGGCTTGGACTTCCAGCAGGCGTGCATGAGCGTGTTTGATAGGAGTGAATGGAGACGAATGGTACTTGGGACCTGACGATCTGTTGGAGTGTGAGCAGGGTAATATTTAGTGAAGGGATTCAGGGAAACTGGTTATTTTTATATAGGCGGACTTGAGTCCTGGAAATGGGAAGTACAATGCCTGCACTTTAAAGGAGGGGTTCGGGATATTGGCAGTTTGAAGGGATATATTGTGTATCTTTATACGTATATGCTTCTAAGCTGTTGTGTTCTGAGCACATCTGCGAAAACAGTGATTATGTGTGAGTGAGGTGAAAGAGTTGAATGATGATGAAAGTATTTTCTTTATGGGGATTTTCTTTCTTTTTGGGTCACCCTGCCTCGGTGGGAGACGGCCGACTTGTTAAAAAAAAAATCTTTAACCTTCTGATTTTCAGTTAGTTTAACCAGAACAAGTGAAATATGATGTCCATGCCAGGGAACTTTTCTTTTTGTTTCTATAAGTTGCCTAGGCTTCAAATGGTACATTTCCTCTGGCCTTCTAACTCCTCTTTCCATTCTCATCATTTTGCATTTACATGGATTAGATTCCAGTAGCCACTTATCAGATCATTCCTGTAGTTAGTTCAAGTCTTTCACATTGTGTGGAAAAAATACTAGTAACTTTTTAAAAAGACACCAGTTTCTGTCACTTGTTGATGATATTAAGAAATCTTTCTTTTTAACTTTGTTGTATTCTTTTATGACTTTTTATGTGATTGTCATATTTCTTTCTCTTTTTGTATCTGCCAACAAGGTGTAAGAAGAGTCGCCTATACATCTTGTGCTGTCAGGGAATCAAGCCTAGGTCCCGTTGATTATTATTATTATTTTTATTATAATTATTATTATTATTATATTTAGGAGGGGAGCACTAAACCCATAACCCGTAGGAGTCATGCAGCACCTTGTGAATGGTAGGCAGTCAGGTTCGATCCAGTGAAAGAGGAGAACAGAACCCATTCCTTCGATCAAGTGCTAAAAACTAGCTTGAAGGAACGTACCTTGAGAGGTTCATTGGTTACGAGTCGTGTGCTCTGCTCCTCAACGACAACTCTAGTTTTTGCAGTTTTTGTCTACACTGATTATTCCTCAGTTCTCTTACCAATCTGGTAGTGTACCTTTGTATTCCTCAGTTCTCTTTCCAATCTGGCAGTGTACCTTTGTATTCCTCAGTTCTCTTTCCAATCTGGTATTTGTACCTTTGTATTCCTCAGTTCTCTTTCCAATCTGGTAGTGTACCTTTGTATTCCTCAGTTCTCTTTCCAATCTGGTAGTGTACCTTTGTATTTCTCAGTTCTCTTTCCAATCTGGCAGTGTACCTTTGTATTCCTCAGTTCTCTTTCCAATCTGGCAGTGTACCTTTGTATTCCTCAGTTCTCTTTCCAATCTGGTAGTGTACCTTTGTATTCCTCAGTTCTCTTTCCAATCTGGTAGTGTACCTTTGTATTTCTCAGTTCTCTTACCAATCTGGTAGTGTACCTTTGTATTCCTCGGTTCTCTTACCAATCTGGTTCTAAAGATCCTTTATATGCTAACTAATCTTGAGTACACCAATATTACATGAGTTATGCCAAGTGTGAAGTATTAAAGCAACATTCAGAGAATAGTACACACATTACTTGTGGTCAGGGCCGGATTAAGGCTTTAGGGGCTGCAGCCCAGGGGCCTCCGCCAGCTGGAGGGCTTCCATAGTCAAGTGAAAAGTGTCCACAATTTGTTTCTGAGAAATTACTCAAAGCAAATGTTTGAATTTTAATTGTGGTTAGCCTTGTAAAAATAAATTTAATATTTCTTTACCTTTTTTTTTTTTTCCTTTTGAAAATATCACTGGGGCCCTCACAGTACCTGTAGCCCAGGGGCCTACAAAATCTTAATTCGACTCTGCTTTTGGTAATTCAGAATTTTCACCTTTGGCCAATTTAACTAAGTTTACTAATGTAATTTATTTTTCAACAGTATATTACCACAAAAGGTGCTTTTGTACCTGAGTAACGTGCTGGATATCACCCACTCGATGGACAACTTTGTAGGGAGGAGGAAGAACCAGTGAAATGGTACAGGTGGTCCTGTTCCTTCAGTTTGTAATGGATGTTAGTACAGTTATAGCCATAAATATCTACCAGAAGCAGATTAAGAAAATAGAAGACAAGTATTTACATTTGCAAATTCAGTAGATGACTGAACTACAGCAGTTTATGAAAGCCTTAAGGAGGTGCAAGATGTGTGTCACGGAAATTAATGTAAATAAACCTTAACCCATTTTTAAATGTCAACTATTATTTCACATTTTGTGATTGCTTTCTGCGTGATTTCTCAATTTACATGGACAGTTTAGGGCACACGACTTGACAGTTATTAGAAATTAAGATTTCTGCAAAAAAAAAAAAAAGATGGATTTAGGCAACAGAAGCAGTTTATCACAACTTGATAAGTTACTTTTAGATTATTATAATCAAAAAGAAGCGCTAAGCCACAAGGACTATACAGCATGTTACTTTTAGAAATCTTTTGTATCCTCGCTGACAGTGATAGCACACACCTGCTTGGCACCTGCCAGAGTGATGGGTGACACCTGCATGACTTCTCTTTACAATTACATCTGGTAATATAGTCCATATCTTTAACACCTAATTGTAGATAAAAGTATTCAGTTTCTTTGAATTGGTCAGAAATTATCTTCGTGTTTTTAAAATTGATTATCAGTAAAAATGTATGGGACACCTTATATGTAACATATACTGTAAAATAAAAGTTTATAATAATATACTTATGTCTGTAACTGCTGGTGCTGCTATTACATTTTGTAAATTGTCTTTTTTGTAACACTATATTAATTAGCATTACTCATTATAGGTCTACCTGAGCCATTGATGTAGTGGCTGTCAACCAGTAACTAAGTATTGAATGAACGTAAAGAAAATCTTCCAGTTAGAGTCTTTCTTTACTTTGTCATATTTAAATAGAAGCATCACGATAAGGCAAGAGAGTGAAAAACCAGACTCACTTAGGAGTCTTTAACATAAAACATTAACATTAAACACATTATAAACCCATAAGGGTATGTATGTGTAAATGTCTGTGTAGTACAATCAGATCTCTTACAGTATCATCATAACGACTATTGCTTATCGATAATAGTTTATATACTACGAGGTGGGAACTACAGTAGGTAATGTAGGAATAATCCAGCAAACATCCCAATACATTATTTCACTTGCATAATGTGTATTAATTTCAGAAAATGAGGAGTTGGTCACATGACCTGCCTCAATATTCAGCAACATCTGGTCCTCTTTGATGTCTCTGAGAATGTGTTCTTGAAGATTATGAGGATAATTAAGTATTGCATGCAGCTATCATGTTAGGATCATGAGTGGACAGACACTCATGGTGGACAGTAACAGAACAAGCTATGTACAAATAATATAAAAATGTCTTATAATAAAATCTGTGGAAAATGTAATAGAAGTGAATATTTAGTCATTATTTGACTTGATATTCAACAACATAAATACTGAAAATTAGACACATGTGCAACATCTGGGCATCTTTATTGTATACAAATTTAAGAATTTGTATTGATAAAGGCACTGGATGGCGAAACGTCTTCAATAAAGATACCCAGATGTTGCACGTGTGTAATTTTCATCTTGTCAGTACTGTATGCCATTCTGTCGTATTGTGAATATCTTCCAAGAAATATTATATTCATATTAATTTTATGGTGTTTCCTTCGCATGTAAACAGATAGTAGGAAATAAAGTAGATAGTGTCAGTGGTCTCTACAGAGTGTATTTATATAGAATTATGGAATCATTAAATGTATATTACTGAACATAAATGGCATTAAAAGAAATCACCGCAGCCAGCCAGCCAGGCAACCAGCCAGCCAGCCAGCCAGCCAGGCAACCAGCCTACCTTCGAATATTCACTTTGCATATATTTTGATCAATACATAAGAATAAAGAAGCACTGCAGTAGGCTTATTTTTCGTTGCTATCCAGGTCAAATTCAAACCCGGTCACGCCCATTCATGTACGTATTCAGCCTGTATTTAAAACTACCCAAATCTCTTGTCTCAATGACTCTATGTGTGAGTTTGTCCCACTCAACTACAACTTTATTGCCAGACCATGAATATATTTCTAAGAGTCCTATCTTGGTTAGATACTTTAAGTTCGTTATTTATATTTCCATTATTCTGGTTATTCCCATGCGTACACTTCAGTTATATACCTTTAATTCCAGAGATCCAGATTCAATGCCTTCAACTTGTCTCTTGTTAAGCGTGCACTAAGAGCAACAGTGTATATACATCTGGAGGGGTGTTTATGGTAGTATATATACACTTAGCAGAATCAAAGTGTTTTATTTATTAATTTGAGTAACTCCTCTTGTCTATCAATTCTATAACACTTTCTTCTTACCTTTTTAGGTATTCAGTATATTCTTCTTCCATTTGTAGTAAAAATTTAATGTATCATTTCATATGGCATTTCTCTCTGGGTCTGTTTTCGTGTGTTAGTTTTTGTAATTTAAAAATGACATTTGCTTATTTAGCAAACATTACATCACCTTGTTGACAATATTTATTTTTTAAATCATGGGCTAAACCCGTAGAGGTCACATAACACCTGGGGAATGGGAAGCATTCAGGTTCAGTCCAAAGGAATGGGAGGCACTGAGGTTCAATTCAAGTGAATGGGAGGCACTCAGGTTTAATCCAGAGAAGAGGAAGAATAAACTCAGTCCCTGATTCAGGAGCGTCACCGTCACCTGCTTCCAGACACCTACCTTGAGTGTTGAGAGTATATGCTTGTAGATGAGTTTACTTACCTCATGCATGATGCTCGGGCGTGGCCTTGTCTTTGTATCATGCATGATGTTCGGGCGTGGCCTAGTCCTTGTATCATGCATGATGTTCGGGCGTGGCATGCATGATGCTTGGGAGTGGCCTGTCCTTGTATCATGCATGACGTTCGGGCGTGGCCTGGTCCTTGTATCATGCATGATGCTCGGGAATGGCCTGGTCCTTGTATCATGCATGATGCTCGGGTGTGGCCTGGTCCTCGTATCATGCATGATGTTCGGGCGTGGCCTAGTCCTTGTATCATGCACGATGCTCGGGCATGGCCTAGTCCTTGTATCATGCATGATGCTCGGGTGTGGCCTGGTCCTCGTATCATGCATGATGTTCGGGCGTGGCCTAGTCCTTGTATCATGCACGATGCTCGGGCGTGGCCTAGTCCTTGTATCATGCATGATGCTCGGGGGTGACCTGGTCCTTGTATCATGCATGATGCTCGGGCGGGGCCTAGTCCTTGTATCACACACGATGCTCGGGCGGGGCCTGGTCCTTGTATCATGCATGATGCTTGGGCGGGGCCTGGTCCTTGTATCATGCATGATGCTCGGGCATGGCCTAGTCCTTGTATCATGCATGATGCTCGGGCGTGGCCTAGTCCTTGTATCATGCATGATGCTCGGGCGTGGTCTAGTCCTTGTATCATGCATGATGCTCGGGCGTGGCCTAGTCCTTGTATCATGCATGATGCTCGGGCGTGGCCTAGTCCTTGTATCATGCATGACGTTCGGGCGTGGCCTAGCCCTTGTATCATGCATGATGCTCGTGCGTGGCCTAGTCCTTGTATTATGCATGATGTTTGGGCGTGGCCTAGTCCTTATATCATGCATGATGCTCGGGCGTGGCCTAGTCCTTGTATCATACATGATGCTGGGGCGTGGCCTAGTCCTTGTATCATGCATGATGCTCGGCGTGGCCTAGTCCTTGTATCATGCATGATGCTCAGGCGTGGCCTAGTCCTTGTATCATGCATGATGTTCGGACGTGGCCTAGCCCTTGTATCATGCATGATGCTCGGGCGTGGCCTAGTCCTTGTATCATGCATGATGCTCGGGCGTGGCCTAGTCCTTGTATCATGCATGATGCTCAGGCGTGGCCTAGTCCTTGTATCATGCATGATGTTCGGACGTGGCCTAGCCCTTGTATCATGCATGATGCTCGGGCGTGGCCTAGTCCTTGTATCATGCATGATGTTCGGGCGTGGCCTAGTCCTTGTATCATGCATGATGCTCGGGCGTGGCCTAGTCCTTGTATCATGCATGATGCTTGGGCGTGGCCTAGTCCTTGTATCATGCATGATGCTCGGGCGTGGCCTAGTCCTTGTATCATGCATGATGCTCGGGCGTGGCCTAGTCCTTGTATCATGCATGATGCTCGGGCGTGGCCTAGTCCTTGTATCATGCATGATGCTCGGGCGTGGCCTAGTCCTTGTATCATGCATGATGCTCGGGCGTGGCCTAGTCCTTGTATCATGCATGATGCTTGGGCGGGGCCTGGTCCTTGTATCATGCATGATGCTCGGGCGTGGCCTAGTCCTTGTATCATACATGATGCTTGGGTGTGGCCTCGTCCTTGTATCATGCATGATGCTCGGGCGTGGCCTAGTCCTTGTATCATGCATGATGCTTGGGCGTGGCCTCGTCCTTGTATCATGCATGATGCTCGGGCGTGGCCTAGTCCTTGTATCATGCATGATGCTCGGGCGTGGCCTAGTCCTTGTATCATGCATGATGCTCGGGCGTGGCCTGGTCCTTGTATCATGAAAAGGAGAATATGAGACAATATTTTGTTCTCTAAAATATCTATTTAGTGATTAGTTGTTATTGTATCGTTATTATTTTTATTACGATTGATAGTTTAGTTATTATTATTATTAGTATTATTATTATTGGTATAGAAAATTTTATAGGGTGATTACCTTTATGTACCTCAACATTACATGCTTACAAGTAAACTCATTGGGAGACAACCATATTGTTTACCGTAGTCACCCCGTGTAGACATGTGAGAAAACTTAACCACCCCTGGTCACGGCAAGTGGTTCCTCGAGCTCACAATCTTATCTGGAGTTTACCTGGAGAGAGTTCCGGGGGTCAACGCCCCCGCGGCCCGGTCTGTGACCAGGCCTCCTGGTGGATCAGAGCCTGATCAACCAGGCTGTTGCTGCTGGCTGCACGCAAACCAACGTACGAGCCACAGCCCGGCTGATCAGGAACTGACTTTAGGTGCTTGTCCAGTGCCAGCTTGAAGACTGCCAGGGGTCTGTTGGTAATCCCCCTTATGTGTGCTGGGAGGCAGTTGAACAGTCTCGGGCCCCTGACACTTATTGTATGGTCTCTTAACGTGCTAGTGACACCCCTGCTTTTCATTGGGGGGATGGTGCATCGTCTGCCAAGTCTTTTGCTTTCGTAGTGAGTGATTTTTGTGTGCAAGTTCGGTACTAGTCCCTCTAGGATTTTCCAGGTGTATATAATCATGTATCTCTCCCTCCTGCCTCCCAGGGAATACAGGTTTAGGAACCTCAAGCGCTCCCAGTAATTGAGATGTTTTATCTCCGTTATGCGTGCCGTGAAAGTTCTCTGTACATTTTCTAGGTCTGCAATTTCACCTGCCTTGAAAGGTGCTGTTAGTGTGCAGTAATATTCCAGCCTAGATAGAACAAGTGACCTGAAGAGTGTCATCATGGGCTTGGCCTCCCTAATTTTGAAGGTTCTCATTATCCATCTTGTCATTTTTCTAGCAGATGCGATTGATACAATGTTATGGTCCTTGAAGGTGAGATCCTCCGACATAATCACTCCCAGGTCTTTGACGTTGGTGTTTCGCTCTATTTTGTGGCCAGAATTTGTTTTGTACTCTGATGAAGATTTAATTTCCTCATGTTTACCATATCTGAGTAATTGAAATTTCCTCATCGTTGAACTTCATATTGTTTTCTGCAGCCCACTGAAAGATTTGGTTGATGTCTGCTTGGAGCCTTGCAGTGTCTGCAATGGAAGACACTGTCATGCAGATTCGGGTGTCATCTGCAAAGGATGACACGGTGCTGTGGCTGACATCCTTGTCTATGTCGGATATGAGGATGAGGAACAAGATGGGAGCGAGTACTGTGCCTTGTGGAACAGAGCTTTTCACCGTAGCTGCCTCGGACTTTACTCTGTTGACGACTACTCTCTGTGTTCTGTTAGTGAGGAAATTATAGATCCATCGACCGACTTTTCCTGTTATTCCTTTAGCACGCATTTTGTGCGCTATTACGCCATGGTCACACTTGTCGAAGGCTTTTGCAAAGTCTGTATATATTACATCTGCATTCTTTTTGTCTTCTAGTGCATTTAGGACCTTGTCGTAGTGATCCAATAGTTGAGACAGACAGGAGCGACCTGTTCTAAACCCATGTTGCCCGGGGTTGTGTAACTGATGGGTTTCTAGATGGGTGGTGATCTTGCTTCTTATGACCCTTTCAAAGATTTTTATGATATGGGATGTTAGTGCTATTGGTCTGTAGTTCTTTGCTGTTGCTTTACTGCTCCCTTTGTGGAGTGGGGCTATGTCTGTTGTTTTTAGTAACTGTGGGACGACCCCCGTGTCCATGCTCCCCCTCCATAGGATGGAAAAGGCTCGTGATAGGGGCTTCTTGCAGTTCTTGATGAACACAGAGTTCCATGAGTCTGGCCCTGGGGCAGAGTGCATGGGCATGTCATTTATCGCCTGTTTGAAGTCATTTGGCGTAAGGATAACATCAGATAGGCTTTTGTTAACCAAATTCTGTGGCTCTCTCATAAAAAATTCATTTTGATCTTCGACTCTCAGTCTGGTTAGTGGCTTGCTAAAAACTGAGTCATATTGGGACTTG